CCTTAGAGACAATTCTTGAGTAGGAGGCATGAGGTTTGGCATTGGACCATGGATGAACCATTTGTCATTGAATGCCTTTTGGTAAGGATTAGTCTCCATCCACGCTTTTGTTTAGTCTTAAAAACCAACAAGGAAAGGAGATAAAAGTAAGAAATTTGGGGGTTTTAGGTTACATACTTACAGCAGATGTCGTCACCACCAAATGATTGCTTTTCTCACAATATCATGCTGCTCCTATGTGTAGGGGGCTGGTGTATGCATAAAAGGGGGACTCATTTGCCCAGTACCCACCAGTAGGTCTTTTGGAGATAAGCATGAACCTTAGAGATTTATACACCATGCAACCACCTATGGAGACTTACTGATGGAAAGGGAGAGTGCACCTTCTCAGAAGTGATGCCAAAAATGAGGGTGAGCAAGTTATACCAGAGCAAGAGGAAGTTTGAAGAGAGATACAGTTTTGGAAGCATTGAAAGAAACATACTTTCTCCCCTTTAGAATTCCTCTTAGAATAATGTAATTACATTATTCTAGCAGGTCATCATTATGGGGCAGCTTTTTGAGTTTTAGACAGATTTGGAAATCAACACTGTGTGAAGTATTCATATATTTTAACATATTAAACAGACGAAACTGTACACAACTTTTCTCAACTAGGTTAATGATATTGTCAAAGCAAACTAGAAATATGATAGTCTATGGAAAACATTTACAAAGATGATAGGCAGACAGATACTTTTACGTACATATAGAATATGTACTTATAATATAAGCACTGCTTAACTAAGAAATTTCCAATCAGGGTTTTCACTAGAGAAGGGGAATGTGACAAATCTGTTCTATTAGATAAATATTCTTAATATAAATCAAGATTAAAATCAAAGGCTCATTGAGAATGTTTGGACCTGAAGAATAAGGGGTTAAAATGCTTTTCCTAGAAATCAAATTCTATTTTAAACTTTCATATGGAATATCTTTCTTGAAGAGTTAAAGAATCTTTATGCAAATGATCATGTCCAATTTATTTGTTTGATGGACTCAGTTTTGTTCTATTTCTCACTTGTATTTATTAGGTGAGTCACATTTCTTGGGTAAAATTCTGTTATAACATGTTATAAATTGCTCCTGAGTGAATCTGCAGATCTTTTAAAAAATCAGTATATGGCCCATTTATTTTTATTATAAAACCTCAGAACTATCACATCAAAAGACAAACCACCTCTGGTAGGAAAGGATGCTTCCATACTTGTGTGAAAACAATTTTGAATACAAAAATATTATGCTAATTAATTATAGATTAGTATAAAGGTATAAAAACATAAGAATTTTTCAGCCAGTGAAATTTGTCAGTGGATAAAGTGCTTGTCATGACCACCTGAGTTTAGTGGATAAAGGTACTTGCCTGATGACCTGAGTTCAATCCTCCAGGAACCACATGGTGGAAGGAATCAGCTTCTTTAAGTTGTCCTCTGACCTCCACATGTAAACTGTGGCACACAAGGTCAGAGAGAGAGAGAGAGAGAGAGAGAGAGAGAGAGAGAGAGAGAGAGAATAAACATAACTTTTAAATTTTAAGATTTATTTTATTTTTATTTATGTACATGTGTGTAATGTATGTGTATATATGCACATTTGAATGTGTGAGCCAGAAGAGGATATCAGATTGTCTGGAGCTGGAGTTACAGGCAGTGGTGAGCCACCTGATATAGGTGCTAGGTACCAAACTCAGATCCTCTAAAAGAGCAGCAAGCACTCTTAACTGCTGAGGTCTCCCTCCAACTCCTTCTTTTTTGGTCTTTTTGAAACAGGGTCTCCCTGTAGCTCCGGCTGTCCTGGAACTTGCTATGTAGAATAGGCTGTCCTCAAGCTCACAGAGATCTGCCTGCCTCTGCCTCTTGAGTGCTGGCATTAAAGACATGCACCACCACACTTGACTAAGAATTTAGTTTTTAAAAAGTATGTTCAAAAGGGAAAATTTCACAGGAGATATGAACTATGGAAGAGAGGAAGTCAAGCCATTGTGAGGGAAGACATTTGGAAGTTACACCAAGTCAAGTCTAGATGAGAAAGCATGCCAGTTCTTGCATGCCAGTTGGTCAGCGTATGGTAGATGTATTTGCAGTGCTTCTTGAGAAAGGCAAAGCTCACAAAATACTGAAAGCAGATGAAAATAGGCAATAGACTCTAGGCAACAGGAGTCATGATCACTGAGGATAGAAATTAGGCTTCTTATATGCTTGTGTAATCTTGTCTATCTCTGGGGGGTGTATGTGGACGGGCTCAGAACATGTTGCTGGAATAGCTTTTTTCAGTTCTCAGGAAATTAGGTCAACACTGGAGCCAGAATACTAAACTTCATGGATATCTCCATTGATTTGTGTACATCATAACTAAATGTGTTCAGAATCAGGTGTGGGAGGATGGTTCGGCAATTAAAAGTACTGGCTGCTCTTGCAGAGTACCCCAGTTTGGTTCCCAGTACCCACCTGGAAGCTAGCAATTCTTATTAAGTACATTTCCAGGAAATCTGATGCCTTCTTCTGGCATTGCACAATATGGGTGAGCTTACATACATGCAGGCAAACACTTGTACACAAAAAGCAAAATTAATAAATAAAAAATATTTTTAAAGTGTTCAAAATAATAAAGTTATAGTTACAATATTTGGCATATTTCAAATCCCAAATTCTGAATATGATCTCTCTTTCCCTGGTGAATATGTCATCCTTACAACACTTGGAGAAAAATGGAAATATTGAAGCCAGACATGGTGGCACACACCTGTGATGTCAATACTAGATGAGGCAGTCCTTACAAGCTAGGCTGAGCCACCCATCACTAATACACCAATTAGAGACAACATTGGTGAAAAACGGAAAGAAGACCTATTCGGTCTGACCACACTGGGAAAAGAACAGAGATCCAGTAAAACCCCTTCCCAAATCTCTTTATATTTCTGACATATGGTTTAGGTATAAATAGAGAACAAGGGTTAATGCATGACTAAGCACTCCTGGTAAAGATGTAGTCCTTCCCACCAGTGTTTCTCCTGCAGTTTCTCCTGTAGCAAGGTAGTCTGGTAAGTTATCAGGACTATGTGAAATCTCTTCCTCTGGCTGGCACTAAGCTTTAGTCTCTCCCCACCAACATGAGATTCCTAGGGAAATTCCAATTCCTCTGGGACTATTTTTTAATAGTTCATTAAACAAAGGAACTGGTACAAAGACTTCACTTTAGAATAGCCTCACCCCTGATGGGATGATTACAGAAGTTACCAATTCAAAATGTGTAATCACCTAAGAAGTGGTCTGGTGGATCTGAGTTCTCACAAAAGAAAGAATGTTTGCTATAAATCAAATCACCATTCATCTAACTACAATAGTTTTAGTCACATGAAGAAAGCTCCACCCACACACTTTTGAGTCTTTGGATTCCTACTTCTTAGTGATTATATGTGTACAGGTAAAGACACTTCTTATAAGGTTCTGTTAAAATTTGAAATACTAAAATTTTATGCCCATATAAAAGAGACCTCATATCTTCACATTATACTGTGATATTTATAATCTGTGCTGTATCTATTCTTTTCAAAATTGTATTGAAAATAATAATTTGTGAGGCAATCTGAGGCCAGTTTTGCCAAGTGCTTGAGCAAAGTTTGAAAAGGCTAGAGAAGGAGTACATATGCCCACCCTCGCTTTACACCTCATCTTTGTCATCGTGCAAACACTTTTCTGCAGAATCATTATGAGTGATTTCATAGTGTTAATGATCCGAGGCTGTCTATGTTTCCACCAGGAACCCCTACTTTCAGGATTCTTTACTCAACATAAATATTCATTCCAAATGATGGTTACACATATATAATAATTCTTGCCCCTAAAAATTCATATTGACTTAAGCACATGAATTTTGGCAGTCATGTGGACTTATACTACCAAAAGAATGAAAAGGGAAATCAAGTGTGAATAGACTACTTTGTCCTCAATAGCTGTGATCTAAATCAAAACACTTTGTAACTGGTAAGACAGGAACATAACTGTTTTGTTTGTTTGTTTTAGCAATTCTATCTCTTGGGTATGGTTTATTGTAGTAAAATTTATTAAGCTACATAGTCCCTTAATCAATCTGTAATTTTCCACATTAGTTTTAGTTAGTATAAAAGCAACTAAATGTATAATTGTGTTTTTCAACTTAAACTTTCATAGAACCTTCTAATACTAATAACATTCTATTTTGATATAGATTTTGAGATGGAATGATAACAAAATGTATAAAATTATTTGTCTTAAGCCTTTGAATATAGTAGTGTCCTTATATTTCCAAATATATTTAAGATACATCAATATCTGGACTGGAAAGATGGCTTAGTGATGAAGAGTCCTGGCTGTTCTTGCAGAGGACTCGGTTTCTATTCACAGCATCCACATGGTGGCTAACAACCATCTGTAACTCCAGTTACAGATGAATCCAATGCCTCTTCTAACTTCTGTGGGGATTGTATGACACAGGTACACTTACACACATACAGGCAATACAGCCATACACATAACATAACAAATAAAATAAAGTGAAAAAGAGACATCAAAATCATATTTTATTCAATTTGTTTATAGCTCCTTGGTAGAAATTTTTAGCATGCAGATTTTTCTCCTATATGAAAGAAAGAAAAAAATACCTCACATACATAATGGTTTTAATCACATGGGGGTCACAAAACACTGCTTAACCCAATCTGTTAAAAAAATGGTGAGGATTTGGAAAACCACACCAACCATTAAACTAAAATATCTTGTTTTTAATTTCACAATTTTAATATTTGTTCTCAGTTTTACATTGCTTGAATTAAGTGTTCCTATCATTACACCGTTGAACCTAGTTGTGTATGAAATTATATTTAAACCTAAATCATCTTGACTTTCTTTTGTTGTTTGCCTTCAGTCTACGTACATATCCAAAGCTTGTCCCAAAGTGCATTTTTCTTTCTGCTTTTCCCACAGCTATTTTGTGACAGTAAAGAGGTGATGCATGCCACAGAGGGTCTGGATTGGGAAGACAAGGATGCTCCAGGAACATTGGTTGGAAACGTGGTACACTCCAGGATCATCAGTCCTCTACGCCTGTTTGTTAAACAGTCTCCAGGTCCAAAGCCGGATCCTATAGTATATGCAGCCGGCATGGAAAACTTTTGGGACTGGCTCGCCAACATCACAGAGATTCAGGAGCCACTGGCAAGAACTAAAAGACGACCAATAGTGAAAACAGGAAAATTTAAGAAAATGTTTGGATGGGGGGACTTTCATTCCAACATTAAAACTGTCAAGCTTAACCTCCTTATCACAGGGAAAATTGTTGACCATGGAAATGGAACCTTCAGTGTTTATTTCCGACATAATTCAACAGGCCTTGGCAATGTTTCAGTGAGCTTGGTACCTCCCTCTAAAGTAGTGGAATTTGAAGTTTTCCCCCAGTCTACCTTGGAAACCAAGGAATCCAAATCTTTCAATTGTCGCATTGAGTATGAAAAAACAGATCGTGCAAAGAAGACGGCTCTGTGCAACTTCGACCCTTCTAAGATCTGCTATCAGGAACAGACTCAGAGCCATGTGTCCTGGTTATGCTCCAAACCCTTTAAGGTCATTTGTATTTACATTGCCTTTTACAGTGTTGATTATAAACTTGTGCAAAAGGTTTGCCCTGACTACAATTACCATAGTGAGACCCCATACTTATCTTCTGGATGAATCTTTCCTCAGTGATGGAAATGAGTTTCTCGTGTATATTTAATTAGAATGACCAAGAAATAAGCCTAGCTCTTCATGGTAAAGGATCTCTTTTTTTCTGGCAGTGAACTGTTAATTCCTCATCCAGTTTTCAAATTAAAAGGAAAAATATATTCAATTGTGAATTGTGTTTGTTTCGATCTTAAGTACCTTTATCTAAAAAGTCAAATTGATTATGAAACCATTATTTTCATACAAAATGGTAAAGTTCTAGAAATTCTGCTTCTCTATAAGAAGCATCAAGAGTAGCCATGTGTGGGAACAAACCAAATTATGCATGTGACAAGCATTGCTCTTAAATTGAGCCTGAATTTGATATGTTTTGGAAGGTTTCCTTGGAAAGAACAGATTCTGCAAAGTAACTGGAAAAATGTTATTTGATGGATGGATTGCATTTCTGATGTTGAATAGTTTTTTACTTGCTATCTCTTCACATCAGTGCCAGTTTTGATAGTTATAGTGCAACAGTGGGATCAAACACTGTATCATCTTAGAAGAATTAGACAGTATGTGGTTGAAGCACTTTGCCTTTATGATTCTCATTTACGTGGTATTGGGAAATACCATTTGGGTATGAGGAAAGCAAATGTAGGTATAAGTTAGCACAGCAACAATGAAGATGGTGTTTTTTAACACTTCAATGCTTAGGGAATTATTAAAAATGACATAAAATTTCTGTACACTCTACAGTTTGGGACCTCATTCCCTTGATTTTATATATGTTTGTGAAACAAGCCTGAAATTGAAAGAAAGTTTTTCTTGGGCTAAACTGGAAAAAAATAGAAGTAGAGGCAGAACATTCTATAGTCATGGAGTCATTGTTTATAGCCTCTCATATTAATTTTTCCACGCACTCAGTAATCATTAGAATGAGGAATAAAACTATGTGGGAATATGGGATATATTTAAATATTTCTAATTGTCGAGTGCTGATATCCACAATACCTGGTTCGCTGGACTTTTGAAATTACGTCACACTCAGTGTCCCTTCTCTGAATGGGTGAGTGGCCATCTTTATGATTCAACCTGCATACTGTATGAGAACAGAGAAAGGAAAAAAGCTCTAGGACTCATGAATCTTAGAATGGTTACTCTTCTTTAAGTGGATGTTAACTTCTTTCTCACTTCTCATCTGTAAACTATCAATCAAGTAAAATAGTCAATGATTACTCAAGACAGGTAAGTCCCAACCAACAGTGCTCTTACCACACTGTTCAGAAAGCCAACAGCTCTGTTTTCTATTTTATATCCCTATTCTGTTCTTTTCTTAGTAATTTCTGCACAGTGTTCTATATTGTCTTTTGTAAAAGTTGCACTATGCTTAGAATGTGGTAGTTTGGCTTTGAAATTTCTCATTTGAGTTCACTGGGTATTTTTTTTTGTAATTTTGTGGTTGGTGAATAATATTTTGAGACATCTTTTTATGTTCATCTAGAAATAAGAGCAAAATACTATACTCATTATAAAATATGTGGAAACTGTCTGTGTATCTATATACTTAAGATTTTCTGTGTACAGAGGAAGTATGTATGCATATTTATGTAAATAAAAGAATTTGCTAGATCTGCACATGACTCCAGGTGGATGGTGTTAAGGCTTTTTTATTTTTTTGTTCTTGTTTTCATTACGAAGCTGTATTCTCTTGCCACACCCTATATATGTGTATGTGTGTGATATTAACTAAGCATTAAGGTTTCCTCTATATGCATATTAAGTAAGGCAGATTGGCTATGAAGATTATAAATTAAATGTTAATTCACATAAAAATGATATTTAGCTTGAAATTAAGTAAGAAATCTCTAAAGATGAGCTACCATTATGACTGTTATGCAAAATGGAATTATATTTATACTATCTGAATCTAAAAGTTAAAAAAAATAAACATCATTTCCATGCAAAGAAATTAATTGTAAATTAATTTATGAAATTCTTAGATTTTAGCAGGTTTTATGAATTTTTTAAAAGTTCCCACAGGCATATTTTCAAATTGGTGTAAAACATATGCCACATCTATTTCTAAGCAACAATTTAATCTCAAAGACTACATGATCATCAATGATAGCACTTGGCACAGTGTAAATCAGACCATATTAGAGTGTAAATGCACACATCTCTACAAAATCATTGTCGCCTTTTAGTATGCAGTTTAGGAAAATGGCATTAAAGTAAGTGAATTTCTCATGCAATAACAGATTGTCCAAAAATTAAGAAACAAGCCAGGCATGGTGGCACATGTCTTTAATTACAGAACAGGACCAGCCTGGTCTACATAGCAAGTTCCAGGCCAGTTGTGGTTACAGGAAAACCCTGTCTCAAACCACAAAAAATTAAGAAACAGAACTTTAAAAAAAATGGTGTTAAACTAGTGGGCAAGGTAATAACTAAAAAGGGGCCAGTCCAGTGCTATTACATAGAAGAATAATGTTACAAAGAGTGCACTGTACGCTCAACCCCTTCATTTGAAAGACATTTGCACCAATGTCTCCATGAAAGCAAAGGAAGTGGCAAGGCCAGCTGAAATGCTTTCCTTTTGATTCCTAAGAAGGTACAGAAGACAGCAAATAATTACAGTGACTTCATAGTAAGACATGATTCAGAAATCAAAATTAAACATAAAAATAGTCCAAAATATCCTTCCTCTAAAATCTCTGGGATTATAATTTTCCCATGAATGTAACACATTTAAAACTGAAAATACAGAGAAAGTCAAGACAGAGTCATTTTATAAATTATAAAAATCCTGAAACACATTAGGGCTATCCTTGCTCAGGTGGATATAGTACCTGAAACCATATTTTCATGGAAATTGGCAAATTGTGTGGAATAGCACATAAAAAATATCAAATTGATCACTTTATCTCTAAAATAGAGCATTGAGTCATGCGTTTTTATTGAAGTGAAATTTTAGTTAACCCAGAGTTAATTAATCAAACCATCATTGAATGGAATGAACAATTGTGAGAGGCAAATCAGAGGAAAATTACCCCCTATGAGAATTATTTTTCTTCAGAAGATTGTAGGAAATACTCATAAATCATTTCATATTCACCTATTCTTCTCTGTATTGAGGTCTGGAACTCTGGGAACATATCCCATCTTGTTTCATTTTCACTCTTTTAGCTTTTTTAACTTTTTCACTTTTTCACTTTTTAACTCTTTTAACTCATTTTAACTACTGTGGTAGTTAAATTTATTCAGAGAAACAAAGCCAATAAAATATGCATGAGGTTTATGAGTATATGAGATTTGTTGTGGGAACTGGCTCACATAAGTACAGAAGCCAGCAAGTCCAAGAAACGAGAACCAGAAAAGCAGGTATTCTAATTCAGTCCATGGACAAAGGCATAAGACCTGGGAGTTCTAATGGCCAAAGACAGAAGAAAATAAATGTCCAGGCTAAAAAGAGAACTAAAGAGAGAATTTCTTTCTATTATGAGCAGAGCCTTTGTGTTCTGTCCCCAGACCCAAACCAGTTGGATATTAGAGAGAGTATATCTTTAGTCTATTTAATTATTTTAATGCTAATTTCTTCCTGAAATAAGCCTCACAGGTACATTCAAGAATAATGTTTTATTATTTAGGATTATTCTAACCTAGTCAAGTTGACAGATAAACTTAAACATCAGAAATGACACTTGATCAATATCTGTAACTTAATTTTTTCAATCTCCATCCAGTGCAGTGATTATTAGGATCTGTTCTTTCCACATAATGCTATCCTGCACATTTACAATATGAACATCTTGCTCCAGCTGAACACAGTGCTCAGTATTATCAATATCATCTTGAGCAGGCATAGAAACTAAAAAGACATTTAAACAAATAAGTACAGATTTTGGAATTAATTCAACCTAGATATATGCCTTGACTCTGTCATTTAATAGCAATGGGATCCTAAGCCAACTATGTAGCTTGTCTCAGTAGAGTTATAAATTTCTGCCTCAGTGTTGACATGGAAGCAAATATACCATAGGTTGTGAGCAATAAGAGACAAAAATAATTTTTAATATAATACACTTTATTATTGCTAGCAATGTAGATATTTAAAGACTAGTGTAAATAAGCAGACTTCACTGTTTTATTCAAAAATCTCTTGCACAAAAAATACCTGATATATTAATTAGTGAAAATATCTTTATTGCTATATTCCAAACTATATATGCAAGTAGACAATTGTTTTGATTTCTTGCCTGTCATCAGATTGAGAGCTACTTATTTTCTTTCTATATGTATTAGGGAGAAATTGAAAACTTAAAGTGTCTTTCACAGAGAAAGGCGTATTTTTAGAAGGAAGGAGCCAGAAATATAAAACACAGTTTTCTTTTAAATAGGAAAAGATGATTATACTAAATACTTTTACTTAAATATTTAACAAAGTAATGATCACTCGGGGGAAACCTATGGCCAAAATGGCATCTAGATCGAGTGGAGGTTCTTGTCCTTTCTTGTTGATTTTGCTTCAATTTAGTCAACATAGCTGTGTCGCTGGATCCTAGTGGCTACCTTATTCATTGTGACTGTGACAATTTTGTTCTGTCTATAGTCCTACAAATTAACTTCTCATCCACTCTAGACCAGTCAGCAGTCTCTGAGCATACAGACTTACAGTTAGCAGTTTTCCTTGGAACCTTACACTTAGAGAATGTCGCCGCGTTGTTTTCAGACATGAAGATAAGAGAAGCAAGAGAAAGAAAGGGGGAAACAAACATTCTGAAGGGAGCTCACATGAGAAAAGGTAAGTCTTGAAAGTACAGGAGCCTCTCATTCATTCTTTGATCACTCATATCCTTCCACACAGTTTTGATGTTACACTAAATAATTAGGGCAAGCATCAGTTGGATAGTTGCATTCTCACCTTACCAATTATACAATTTAAAAAAAAAAAAATCCTTTGTACTACATTTCCAGGAGATTTTAAGTAAAGAAAATCAGAGTAGTCTCTTACAAGGTGCAATTGTGAGCTGTTGAATTCCTCAACCGATTTATTCTGCTGCGTCACATGAAAATAAATGCCCCTTCCAACTGAGACGCTTTTCATTTGTCAACTATTGATCCTCCCACAGCCTCTCTTCTTAGCTCCATGATTCTTGAAGAGGTTAAACCAGTGAAGCTCGGTTGCATTTATTTCTTCCTATTTTGTCCTGTAGTATCACCATCTATAACATCAAAACAGCCAGACACTCATCTTTACTAGTGACAAAGTAGCAGACACTAGCTAAAGGCAAAGTTGTCTAGGAATTTATTTCATGACCCAGTAACATAAATTATATATATCTTGAAAGATTCTGTGGAATTTATATTTTAAAAATTATCCCCTTTAACTATTATTTCCTTTTAATTTGATAGATCAGCAATGTTCCATTGTTTACCATGATAAGCAGACAGTGAGAGGGGAAATCCTATTTGTCATCATCAGGCTATACGTAAAATAACAAGCGAGCAGGTTACAGGAAGGAATATGAAGAATGGAGAATAGAGTGAATGGGCCAATTTGAAGTTCCAAGAAAAATCTATTATACCCAAAGACCATGCTCTGAATAATTTATCTCTAGAGTTCACTAACAATGTACCCCCACTTTACATTCCTCAAATCCTACTGAAAATATTTTGCTCCCCAAAGATTTAACTTGTTGTTTGTACATTAATAACTACTTCTAACTTCTTAGCTATTGTAAATACTCATTTCCTTTTTAAGTTGCTCCCATGAAATTGACATGGTTTCCTATACTCCAGGCACCCAAACTCCACAAATACCTAGAGTGCCTAAACACTATATTATATTGTAAATCTAAGAGTCTAAAATAAAGAACATATGTTTGTATAAATAACTGTTGATTCATCATAATTTTGCCATTTAGGAGATATCATGATTTATATAACTTTCTCTTTTGACTGGAAATATAAAATTTTAAAGAAAAGTCTCCCTGGGCTGGGGAGATGGCTCAGTGGATAAAGCACTTGTTGCACAAGCATGAGGGCTGAAATTCAGATCTCCAGAACCCACATAAAAGCTGATTAAGGGCCTACCTGTAATCCCAGGGCTCAAGACATGGAAGCAGCACCCCCAGAGCAAGCTGCTTAGCTGGGTTAGTTAAATAAGAGAGCTTTAGGTTAAGAGATAGATTGTCTTAGTAAATAAGGTGGTGAGCAATAGAAGAAAACACTGAACATCAATATCTGGCCTCTATACCTGTGTGTACATGCCGGTGTACTCGCATGTAAATACACATATACACATGTACACCAC